TGGAGTGGAGTTCCATTTAACTAAATCTAGAGGAGGAAAAGATAATCCTGGTCTTGGTTAAAATATAAGTAAAAGTGTTGTCTTGCTATGTCTCCCTAATGAGCTATTATAATGTAAAATTTTACCTATTTCTAACTAGACCTATGATTATAGCCTTGGTCTTATGAAGAGGTAGGGCAAGAAGAGAGCTTTATTCAGGGGAATAATAGAAATATCTTAGAAATATTATAAGGTTGTCAGATTTAATTACACCTGGATATGCTGCATATTACATTATTTCTGCCATTGAAAACACAATCTATAAGAGCCTTTGTAATGAGGCTTTCTGCTTAAAAATAGAAATAAAAAGGGTATGAGAAATTCACTCAAATGGGAAAAAAAATGCAGCAAATAAGCAAGCAGTGGGTGTGAATAATTAGAAAAAATGTTATAGATTTTAATATTCAAATTATATGAATTCATCAATAAAATGAAGATCAAAGTACCTAAATCTCTATTTCTATGTGATTATAAAAACATGGAGGGGGAACCAGCAGTTAGCATAATGGCTATGTCGCTGGACTCCCACATAGTCAACCGTGGTTCGCGTCCCAGACCCGGTGACTTAAAACTCACGCCGGTCGCGTGTGCGTGCGTGCCCAAGATCCCGAGAGAATGGAGGAGAAGGGATTGCGGTGTGACCACACACCCCCCCTGGGGGGTGATTTCTTGCTTTCTGTCTCTCTGTCTGTCTGGCAAGCGCACGTGCCTTATAGCGAAAACCTCTCCAAAAAAAAAAAAAAAAACATGGAGGGTAACTGGAATAGTAGTAAAATATGACGCTCTGTGAGGCAATCCCACACAGGACGCTTCCTGGTTCAAGACTGAGACTTTCTTAGTATGTGGGCACAGGTGTGCCCATAACATGGGGCTTGCTGAAGGCTGGGGGTGGATCACAGTGTGAGGGCCTATTGGGAATGCTATCTCCTTTTCTCTCACTCGAAGAATAAATATATAACAAAAATATCAGGTCACTGGGAAAGTCATGATGCATTTTTGCATAGAAAAATGACCCAATTCATTCATTTTTTTTATTACTTGACCTACATGCCAAGAGTTATTATAGGTTTTTTTAATTATTTATTTAATTGGTATGATCAGAAAACTTTCAACTTTCATAAGTCTTATACAATTTATTTTTGTTATTACTGTTTTTTTTGTTGTTGTTGTTATTACTGTTTTGTCTAAGAGGTACATTCTCTGGAGTCTATCTAAATAAGGACTTTTAATTTCAACCAGTAGGTGGCAGAATAACATTAGCCACCAGAAAGCAGCAGTTGCTCAGACTGTTAGGCAAAAAATACAGGAACTACTACTTGTGTATTAGTGCATTGGTTAAAGAAGACAACTTCGACAGTCCTGCAGCGTGTGCAATCATTCTTAATGAATGGTTAAGTCTTGTATTAACTGTCATTCACCATTCAAACATATGCTCAACTAAGGGATACTAGCAGATACCTAACATGTAAAATGTGGGTGGGAAGAATTCTAAAAATATCTATTTTAAAAAAGTATGTACAATAGGAGCAATGGGGTTATACTAGGATGCAAGTAATAGTAGTATCATACTGAGATCACATCTCTGGATTTATTTTCTATCATTTATTAATATCAGAAATACACTAACTGTTCAAAAGGTATGAAATCTGGAAGATTGTTTTACGACTGTTGCCAAATTGCTTTGTAAACTGTTTATAGCAATTGATATGTACTCAGTTATTTATGAAAGTGATTTCTAACCCAACGTTTGGAAAATTTTTTTAAAAAAACTCTTATTCAGTACTTGACATGAAAAAAGGTATCTATTATAAAAATAATAGACATCCCTATTATTTTTTTTTTGGGGGGAGAGGTTTTTGCTACAGGGCACGTGCATTCGCCAGACAGACCGAAAGAGACAGAGAGACAGAAAGTGAGAAACCACCCCTCAGGGAGGATGGCCACGCCGCAATCCCTTCTTCTCCATTCTCCTCTTGGGATCTTGGGCACGCACGCACAGGCGCCCGGTCTGAGTTTAAGCCACTGGGTCCAGGACTCGAACCACGGTTGACTACGTGGAGTCCAGCGATATAGCCATTATGCTAACTGCTGGCCCCACATCCCTACTTTTTTAAGATTCCCGATTAGTGAGGTACTTCAATGAACAAGATCAAGGAATATCTCTTTATCAAAGGATTAATCTAGAATTATCTTTATTACCTATAAGACACAATGTTTTGTCTTTACCATAATTTTGTTGGAAGTATTAGTCAAGCCTTTGTGAAATAAATCATATAAAGCAAGTTATTTTTTTTTAAAAAATAATATGCAGATGATTCTTTAAAGTAAAAGCATAAGAATGGGGCCAGCAGATAGCACAATGATTACATTACTGGACTCCCATGTACTGGCCACAGTTTGAGTCCTGGAACTGGCGGCTTAAAATTCACGCCTGTGTCGGGACCAGCAGTTAGCATAATGGCTATGACGCTGGACTCCAATTTAATTGACTGTGTTTTGAGTCCTGGATATCCAGGGATGTCTACTTGTTAACATTTGTTAGTTTTTCTGATGTAAAGGTAAGTTATGTCTATTACAGAAAGTAAAGGAAACTTTAAAAATATAAATTATCTCGCTCCCTATCTGCAAAAATAACTACTGTTAATGTTAGGTTTATTATACATATACATATGTACAGACATATGTCAAATCTTTCTGTACTTAGCAAAAAAAGATTAAAATAATAAAAGTGATTAGAATACTTTATGTCCTTGTTTTATCCTCTTTAAATATTTTTCCACAGTTTGAGTTTTCTTTGAAAATTAACAACTTATAAATTTTTTTCTTGTCAATCTTTTCAAATCCACATGAATTTCCATCTCTATAAGGAAGTGATTCCAGGTATAATTAGTAGTATTAGCACAGCATTACTCAACTATTTGTATGACTGCCAAAAGAGCTGTCTAATGCAGAGAAGTGGGAAGTAAAAGGAAGAGAGGTCAGATGTCTGAGACTGAGGAGGTATAGATAGAGCAGTTATCTTTCCTAATCAAGCAATATTTACAATAACTACAGGGTCATCTAGGTGGTATGGTGGTTAAAGTGTTGAATCTCACATGGTAGACACTGCAATTTGAGGCCCAGATCCTGCAGTTTGAAAAACACACTCAGTGCATATGTATGTATGCCCAAACTCATGAGAAGAGAATGGTGGAGAAGGGATTGCAGAATGACTATTCCCCCTGGGGGCTGATTTCTCACTTTCTTCCTCTCTCAATCTCTCTCTCTCCATCAAGTGCACATGCCCTATAGCAAAATTTAAAAAAAAAAAAAAAAAAAAAAAAGCAACAGGATGAAATGTAATAGAAGGCAGAGAAGCTTTTTTTCAACAAGTGAAAAGCTTGTGCAGAATAGAAGACAAACAGGCAATACCTTGTCATACCAGAACACTGAAAAAGGAATACATTAACACTACATAAAAAGAATTTTTAAAATCACAGCAAAATTACCCCCAAAAGGTTATTATGCAATGAAAAAGGACAAATTTCATCTCAAAAATTAAACAAATGCCTTCCCTTTATAAAACTATAATAGACTGAGAAAAAACAATCAGTACAAATATATGTCAGTTAAATAATATTTATTATATAAAGCAATCCTGTAACTTGATATGAAAAACAAAACAACAAGAGTAAAAGACACGAACATCTGACTAGAGGAAACAGCTACAAAAAACACAAATATTAAATCTTGATATTCTAGGAAATGATTGGGATGTCATTTTTTGCTTATTCAATACAGAGTTAACAGCAATTTCTACTTTTTCTATTTTCCAAATATACTCAAATGTGCTATTTTTAGTAATAAAAAACTGAGTCATTAAAAAAAACATAGAAAGTATGAAAATTTCTGCCAATGCAGAAATCACAAAAAGCATTAAAATGAATCAACACTTGTGTGGGCAGTAAGGTTCAGATCCCTGGGAGCCAATTCATTTTGCCTCATTCCTGAGTTTATGGGATTGCCAATAAAGAGAACGTTGTTCCTGATTTACACTCAAGTACAGGGCCACGTATATGTACATCTTTTTTCTCCAGGTAGAGAATTATTCCAGGAAAGTACCTCTTCAGAATCACTCACTACAGACGACTCCTATAATTTGCTGGTAAGATCCATTAAAATCTCCCTACCTTGTGTCTCACCCAGTAGGAGCACCTCTGGTATTGAAGAGGCTGAGGATCTACTTGAGTACTACCTGCAAGACAACAGTGTTCTAGACTTTTTGTAGCTGGTTTCTTAGGGAATGTGAAGTTGGTCCTGTCCTTCAGACACGGCCCAAGGACATTTTTTCTGATTTGATTCAGAAGACAATGCATCTCCTGCTTGCTCAGATCATAGCCTTGAGGCAGATTACACAGCTCAGGATGCACATGGGCTGGAGCAGCACCAAGGCAAGCACCCAAAATCACAAAATAACCATGTTAGGATGACTATACTAGGATACTGAACTTAAAATCCTGTAGCTTTGTTCAGAATATTTGCTTTTATCATAAGCTAAATTTTACTGGACAAAACACTGGAAAGTAGCAGAGCCTACACCTACTGAGCAAAAGTAATTCTAACCAGAACTTTGCTAAATGATCTGTATAAAAGGGAGTCTACAAAAAAATACAAACAGAAAATATAATGTAAGCTTCATCTGAAGTAACAATTTAGCAGATGACAGACTGGATTGTGCATTTAATCTGCGGTAGCCCTATCTATCTAAATTTAGTATGACTACACATTTATTCTCTGGTACTGAATTCTCATTTGAATAGAAACAGCTGCTTTATGGAAGAGACATTTTAATTTAAATGCAATTTCACTATAGTTGAGTGCCAATTTAAAATTATGTGTAAGTGTGTGTGTGTGCACAGCAATTTCACTATAGTTGAGTGCCAATTTAAATGTATGCGTAAGTGTGTGTGTGTGCACGCACATGTATGCATACAGTTTCTTTCTAGCTTTCTTTCTCTGGTGAGAGATACCAAACCCTGACTTTGGGCTATACTTTTTTTTTCTATTTTGTATTTTTATTGTTTCTTCTGTCTGCCCAAGAAACTTAACATATTCTGAATGCACCTACACAATCAAATGAGGTGACAAGATACATCAAAAACTCTATGAAAAGAGGGAGGTAGCTAATACTTGGCAACCTTTTTTTAATTATTATTATTTTAGGTTAGAACAGGTGGCCTCCCTTTGATGTTTTACAAAGATGAAACTTTCAACTCTGAATCACAATGGACATAACTATACATTTACTACTCACCTACAATTTACTTACATAACATATGAAAAGACATCTAATTTAAACATTTTTCTATGTATCTTTTTCTCATTTGTTAAAACAGCTGGCTATGTTGAATACATTTTCAGAATGCATCTTTAACCATTTGATAAGGAAACTAAGCCAAACAAGACAAGTAACATGTTACCTTTTTATCTAATAACTATACCAATCATTTTAAGAAGGGGAGGTATGAGATCATCCATTATGTGCTGCAAAGGTATTAAACCTTAGACCTAAGAATGATCCGAAGGTGCTGAAAGGGGAGATTCCCTAGAAGGTGACCCAGGATTTTCTTCAGGTGGAAAAACTGTGAGAGTACAAGCTCGAATGCCACCAAGTGACTCTGGAAGGTCAAAAACTTTATGCCACTCATCCTTTTCTGGGTCATATTTCTGGACAATTTCTACCATACAGCGATTATTCCAAGAATATCCACCAACAACATAGATTTTATTTTCAAAGACAGCAACTCCAACATCACTTTGACCTCTTAACATAGCAGCAATTGGTGTCCACTGGTCAAGGGTTGGTGAATAGTATTCACAGCTTAAAACATCATCATAATCACTTGTTCCTCTGAAGTGATTACCACCAATAACATAGAGCTTGTCTCCAACTGTACACATGCAATGCAGCCCTCTGACAGTCGTCATTGGGGCCTTCTGTGTCCATTTGTCAGTATCTGGGTCAAAACACATAAGCTCATTTTGGAAAGTGTCATGGGTAATTCCTCCTGATATATACATTAAGCCTCCATATACTGTCCCAGCATGGCCATAGTGGGGTTCACTCATTTTTGCAACATAGCTCCACTCATTCATTCTTGGGTTGTAACATTCTACTGTGGCCAGTTCACCAGCTGCACTGCGCCCACCAACTGCATACAAATGACCTTTGAGGGCACTTAAGTGGAAGAATGTGCGCTTTTCATTTAATGATGCAACCTGCATCCACTTATTATACCGAGGATCAAATCTGAAAACTGTATCAACAGCGGTTTTTCCTTTTGTATCATAATTACTTTGCCCACCAACGACATAAAGAAAGTTTCCAATGACAGCAATGCCATGCTGATACCTAGGCGCATCCATTGGGGCTAAAGATCTCCACTCTTGCGCCCTTTCATCATACATCCGTAATTCCTTACTCACAACCAGTTGCTGCCTCAAAACTCCTCCTAATGTAACCAAGTGAGTAGAGTCAGATCTAATGGCAGTTCTATCTGACTGCATCACTGGCTGCATATACGGCATCATTTGATAATTACTAGCTTCCAAAAGCAAATTTACACAGGTATTGTCTGTTCTCATGAAATCTACTGTCTGAACATAATTGATGAGATCTTGTGGTGTCATCAGTGGAAATCGAATATTCTTCATTAATTTTGCAGCATAATCCATCCGAGGGTCTTCCAACCTCAGCCAGCGACAGGCAGCCTTGAAGAGCTCAAGTTCAGTACAGTGCTTAAGACTATTACTAGAGAGCACAAAGGCAAGTCGTTCAAACGGGAGTTTAAGAAACTCTCCAGTACTCAGTAACGCAGGAAAGTTCTTCAGGATGAAATTATTAACATATTTATCCACTTCTATAAGATTGTAAGTGTTTGCAATTCGTCCAACCTCAACGCAGTTATCTAAAGAGACTCCCGATATAAGAAATACTTTACAGAAATCCAAAACAGGTAAAATTTGTAAAAAGCTGGCAGCTTCAAGTGTATCCTGAAGATTGTCCATATTAAGAGAAAGTTTTGCAGTATAAATAAAATCAATGATTTTCTTTAGACCAACCTTGTTCACCCCATGAAGTTTAATGCACATTAAATCTTGTTCTTTCATTCCACCTGTGAACATAGCCTTGAAATAATCGCTCGCGGACGCCATCATAGCTCTGTGAACAGGGAAGATATCATCTCCATCACCCGGTACCAGAGTCACATCACAAAGCAATCCTTCTATTCTCAGCTGATCAAAGCCTTGCAATACCACCGAACTGTGGGTATTGCTGGTAAAAAAACGTGTGGTTCCTGCCTTGCAAGTCTGCAAATGGGCAGAGACGCCCATTTCGCCGTTACCAAGAGACACTTTCATGTGAAAGCCTTCCTCTTACACAGAGAATTCTGCCGGAAAAGAAGTTATATCCTGAACTTTTTACAGGAAATGTGGACGTCCGACAAGCAGGAAAGGTGGCTCTATCGAGGGCCAGTGGTCACCGCGGAACCCCTCAGGGCACACCCGTCAACCAACGAAAACTGTCCCGTAGCAAGACCACAAAGGGCTGAGGACCTCAAATCTGATCGTTATGTCGATGATTCATCCCCGGAGGGCATTTAAACCACCCAGTTCACCTAGTCCGGCCTGCGCTGCCGCTCCTTCAGCAGTTCCGCTCCGGGTCAAAGGGGAGGCGCCGCCACGTACCGCGGCTCCTCCACTTCCTCGGCCGGGCCCCGGCCGCCGGCCCCCCAGAAAGCGGCCCACCGCGCCCTCGGCTTTCGGGAGCCGGCCTTCACCACGGCCACCCGCCGGCCTTGAAGCAAGACCTGGAACACGGACTTGGGCCTGGAACACCGGCCTAGTCCGGACGCCGAGCCGGTTCTTCCGGAGAGGCCTCGTCCCAGGATCCCCCGGGCTAGGAGCGGTCGCCACAGCTACTGCGCCTGCGCGGTAGCGGGCTCGCGTCTGTGGGCGGGCCCGTGGGGAGGGGGAGGAAATGCACCGGGGGCGGGGAGCGGAGCAGGCTAGGGTCGGCGTTCGCTGGGTCTTAGAGTCCCCTGGACGTGGAACTATAAACCAGAGAGACTGCTCACATACTCCCGTGCTTCGCGTTTGCTGTACAATTTTTGTGGTACCCGAGCTCTTCCCCCAAACGCATACTTTCTCTTTAAGGTTTATACTTCCTGGCGTTTGTCTTTCGAATGATGGCGAAACGTGGCTTTTGCATAAATTGACAGAAAACATGGAAAGAGAGGGGATAGGATGCTTAACTTATTTTCTATGTAAAACAGTTTTGATCCCACAGCACTTAATAGATACAATTATAATTTTGTTCTTGGTTTCAAGATTTTTTCAAAATACTTTAAATACATTCTCTTCATTCTGAATAGTTTATCTCATAATGCATTTGCCGTCATAATTTGTTCATGCTTTTTTTACTTACAAGTTTTTAAATGACTACACGATTTTCTAGTAACTGTACATACTATGGTTGCCTATGCTCATTATTTGTTCCTGAAAATATACCTTATTGTACTTGTAAAGAGAAAATATCTAGCCAATTTAATTGAGTGGAGTTTTAATTGAGGAAATCTTAACATGAATAAGGGAGCCTGCCACAGGGTACCTCCAGATAGACTTGTGGTCCACTCAGTAGTGAGGTACAAAAATGAAAGGGAAGGAATGAAGTAGAGAAACAATTTAGGGTTGATTATATTCTGAATTTTGTCTGCACTCATGTAGTTTAAAAAGCAAAAGGGGGGGAGGGTGCCTGTGATTGGCTTTAAGAAAGTGAAAGAACGGGACCAGTAGATGGCATAATGGTTATGTTGCTGGACACCTACATAGTTAACCACAGCTCAAGCCCTGGACCCAGTGGCTTAAAACTCAAACCGAAGCATGAATGTGTGGGCCCAAGATCCCAGAAGGAGAAGGAGAAGGGATTGCTGCATGGCCATCCCCCTATCTCTCTGACTGTCTCTATTTGTCCAGAGAGCGTATATGCCCTATAGCAAAAACCTCTTCAAAAAAAAGAAAGTAAAGGAATAAGGTAAAGAAACAACTTGGATTGGTTACATTTTTTATGTCTGTACTAACAGTTTAAAAGGCTAGATGCCTGTGACTGGCTGTAACCTAGGAAGAAAGAAAGAAGAGAGAGAAAAATGAGGTCACAGTTTGCTTACTGAAACCAAGCCGCAGTTTGGAGGGCTTTTTGATAAACATATCTTCCATTGTTTTATAGAATCTGTAGTAAACTTACAGAATCTAGACACAAGACTTTACCTTGTTTTGATAATGTTTAGTAGGATATTGAATCAAGACAATATTTCCAGCAATGTTCCTGCATTTACCTGCTACTGATTTCTCCTTTACTGGTATTTTATTAACTCGCAGTTCTTTAATTACTAGTAAATTTTTTAAAATTTTTTTTAATTTCCAGTATGATATATGCACTTGCCAGAGAGACAGAGAGAGAAAAATGAGAAAACACTCCCAAGAGAGGACAGCCACACAGCAATCCGTTCTCCTCCATTCTCCTCTCAGGATTTTGGGCCCTCACCCACATATGTCAAGAACATTTTTGAAGTCTACAGTTCCAAGACTTTAACTGCTCTATCTACCATGTGGGATCCAGCCACCTTTACTGCCATGCCACCGACTGACCCAATTACTGTGCTTTAAATCCTTCTAGAAATTACTTATGGATATGAAAACTAAGAATAGAGTTGCATTCTTTTATTATACTCTTCCCATATTTACTAAAAGATAGTTTACCTATATACCCTGTTCTACATCTTTCTCTTTCCACTTCAGGATCTTACCAAATTATAGAACTTTTAGTATTTTTAAATAGTCATATTGTTACCCACTGATTGTGTCATTCATTTAATCAGTCCCCTACTGCTGGTACACTTATTCTGTTTCCAGTTTATTTTCATATTGTTTCTGACTAATGGCAGCAAGGTCCAGAAGGACTTGATCACCACTAGCCTACATAAGATGCACCAGCAGATTTCAACCTGTCTAGCACAAGAGGTTGGTTGGAATGAGACTGGTCTGGAGAAATTCTTCACTTTGCTTTATCAACATTGGAAAGTCCTAGACACTTGCTTGGTGCAGGAGTTGAGGCAGGAAGGACTCCCTTGCGTGGTGATGCTTGCATACTGGCCATGAAGAGGTACTTCCTAAGAATCAATCTCTATCTGGAAAAGAAAGAATAGAGCTACTGTGCCTGGAAAGTTCTCAGTGCAAGATATCATGAGATCGTCCTCTTTATCATCAAACTCATAAGTAAAATTGATAGCTAAAGAATAGACCTATGCCCTTAATGATGTGATTGTTGTGGATGGACACGCTTCATCATATTCCCACATGTTCAGTCATTTCAAAAGACTAGCTTTTTCCTGCCTTCATTCTGAAATGAATTTAGCCAAATTTGTCACAACATTTGCAAATGTTAAGCATTTATCTATTAAAGCATCCGGATGACATTATGAGTTTAGGTGTATATTTATCTGTTCTACTACATTTGTTGTATTTTGGTGTTTTTGCTTGTATGATATCATGTTCACATTTATATTGTACTAATTATATAAAATATTCATCTTAATATGTTAAAATTATTCTCTATTCTATTTTTTCTTGTTTTGTTTTTGGTTTCGTTTTTCCAGAGGGCTCGTGTGAATGCATGCTTAAGAAAAAGATCTCCCACACATTTCCCCAATTACCCTCCTACCTCCTATAGCAAACCTCCTGTCACCTGCATGGGTACATATAAGAACCCAGGTACTGAAGAATTCTGAGGAGTTGAATAGCATTTAGCTATTCAGTGAGGAGACAGGGCCTAGATAGGACTGCTTACCAGTTTAGCACCATCCACCTGCTGAGCCGTGAGCTGGGCTTATTGAAAAGAAATATTACTAATGAAACACTCTTGGCCTAAGGTTCTTCCTACTCTTTTTGAAGTAGAGAAGAAAATAATAGACTCCAATCCATCTGCAGCTCAAATATAACTCTGCTATAGTAGGCCACATTATTTTCATATCTCTAAGAACAGCTCTCCAACCATGACAGGGGCTGGAAGCCATGTTACTTCTGCCTACGACTGATAGAACCAGTATGATCCAAGAATTTGGCTCTGCTGGGGCCAGCAAGTGGTATAGTGGTTAAAGCTCTGGAATCCCACATAGTTAACTGGAGTTCGAGTCTTGGACCTGTTGACCTGAAACTCACACTGGGCACATGTGTGTGCTTGCCCCAAATCTCAGGAGAATGAACGAGAAGGGACTGCAGCATGGCCATGTCCCCTGGGGCGGGGAGGGGGGGTGATTTCTTGCTTTCTGTTTCTTTGGTGAGCATGTGTTCTTTTGCCCTATAGCAAAAAGCTCTCTTAAAAAAACAAAAACATGAAGAATTTGGCTAAGGAAAGGATGACTGGAATGAAAGTTGAAAGCTGGCCAGCAGTAAAATACAACACTCTGCAAGGCTGATCCACTGGAGAAGGTTCTGGGCTCATGTTCAGAGACCTCCCTGACTACACCAGCTCATGTATCACCATGATCTGGGGCTGACTGAGGCTGGAGGTGGATTGTGGTGTTAAGACCTTGTTGGAGGTGCTGTCTCTCTGTTTCCCTCTCTCTCTCTTTCTCTTGCTCATAGAAAACATAAATAAACTTTGAAATAAAAAATAGAATTTGACTCAAGAAGCCACAACCCTGTGATTTTATAAACTAAATCACATTAATGAGAATGCTCTGAAACTACTGACATTTACATAGTTCTTAACCTCTTCTCAGGCTTGACAGTTTAACCTTTACATAGCCTCTGTGAGATATCATACTATTCTTGCAATAATCACCTTGGATCACATATTGATGTAGATGGTCATGTCTACCTAAGAAGCATGTATATTTATTTAGTATGTGTGGTGTGGGGTGGAGGGAGTAGGTGGAAGGCCCCATTTAGTAAAGCTGTTCTGAGCACCAGCTGGTATCACTCCAGTCCTGATGAGGAACCAAGACTGGACTAAGCGTAATTGGTCTTGGATACAGCCTGCACTCCAGGAGCTGCACTGCAAGGTCATGCTGACCCCAAAAGTAGCAGATAAAGACCCAAACTGAGTACTGGGAAGTCTAACTTACCAGTGATGGATGGAAAAGACCCACCAAATGTTTCATGTATGCTTATCCCACTGTGCCTAACTCCCCTGTATATCAGTCATGAATATGGTTTCCCAAAATAGCTTGATTACCCAATAAAAGAAGCCTTCTTCCTCCTGGCAGGTGAGCTGAGGCACCTCTGGCTTCAGGTCCCCGGAAACTATTTCTCTCAATAAACTTTCCTTTTCTCTTGTGATGATGCCTCCTGAGTCTTAACTCCAGACAGGTCAGTAGGAGAGTGGGAATTAGTTCTAAGTGCTCATGTATGTACAAGGCCTCTGATCTCCCATCACTACAAACTTGTAATTGTAATTGCTTGTCTTCCACTCTGTACAATAAATCCTCTAATTCTGAACATGATGATTGGTCCAGATGAAAAACATGTATCCTGAAGTTTTAAAATCGAGTATGGTTCTCACAAGAAGTTCACATTGGGATATAAACTTTTCTTTACATTCTGCTTAAAACCTATGAATTGTATGCAACCCAAAGCTTTACCATTTGAAGACACATAATTTAGAGCTCCAGAGATGACAACTAAAAAAAAAGAAAGAAAAAAGAAAAAAGTGAATTA